TCTCTCTCTCTTACTTATACAGTAGCTCATGAAAATATTTGAACATTTTTATACAAAACTGTGATGATATAAAATTTTAACAATTGTATTCTGTTAGAATTTGAACATTTTGAAATTTTACCAGTGTTACATAAAATGCGTTAGTACCATGTATAAAATAACAGGACTGACTGATGATTATTGTTGTTGTTTAAAATTTGAAAGCAAATCTGAAAATGTACAGAAACACAGTTAAAATTTACAGCGGTAAGAAAATATTTAGTGCAAACATGCTTACATTTAGTGAAAAGGGACTACACGTATTTTCAATTTCAAATAATATATTTCTAAATTGGCTGTAAATGCTATATGCCATTAATAAAATTTGCGTGATATTTAATATATTTATTCAAATGTTTCTGCAAATGACTTACTGTATCGTAATTTTTAAAGCTGAAACTCAATATTAATATATACTATATAATATATTTTTGATTTTTATACATATTTTCAGATTTGTTTCAAACTTTACCTTTCGCAATTAATTGTATCTCTCTCTCTCTCTCTCCCATGAAAACTTTCTCTCAAGTTGGATGAATGATATATATAGAGGGATGAATGACGACGTAGGCTTGCAGAGAGATTCTCTCGAATGACACATCGACGGCCACGAAAATGCAGCGTGGTCGTTGCGTCACGCCAACTTTTCATTCCACGAAAAAAACGTGCAAGCCCCAGGAAACACGAACGCGCGAATTCGTTTCACCGATCAATCGATTCCCCGAAATCGAGCCAGCGTCCAACTCTCCGAAGGGTAGTCACTCGTACTTCTGAGGTCGCGTGCGTAAACGTTTAGCAATTAGCAGTTAGTAGTCGATAGTTGCAAATTGCAGTTTTGTCTGCCGTTTCTTTCCGTCAAGTGTTTCGGAATTAAAAAAAAATATATCGATTATTTCGCGACCGAATATCTTGCATCATAGAAGGGAGCGTCGAGCATTCATCGTTTAAAGGTGACTTTTGACCTCGCAAGCGATTATTACAATCTCTTGGCCGACTGTCTCTCGATTTCCTCGTCCAACGTTGTTCCATTTAACGGTTCTTCCGGTGATAAGGAATCACGCACTAGGCGCCTCTGTCACACGCTCGCATGTGCCACGTATAAATTCAGTGCTTACCGATCTAAGAATTCGCATCACTCTTGAGGCCGCAATCATTTAGAACACGCATCTAGTGAATCTAGTGAATACGTGTAGTTATAGCATTAATATTGCACATCAAAAGGGAATTCTGTGTGCCACCAAACGATATCTCAGAGTACAATCTGTGATCTCTGAAAATATGATACGTCTGTATCACTGTTCTTTTTAAACTGTTGTATAATACTTACATATCTTGTTATAATGATGTAGTTTTTAGCATGTTTGTGTACGTTCTTTTTTTTTTTACATTAGGTTTAGAAATAAATGAAGACCATAGATAAAAAAGCATGAGAAGTCATTCGGTTCCTATGTTTTACAAAACAGTAATTTTGAAATTCAATATGTTATCAATCAATCTCACAGAAAAAAACTGTTTTTCCATTTGATTTTGTAATCAAATCGTCATTGATTTTGTCAGCATCTGAAAAATTTAAGAAATATTAATATTATTATATGCAAAAGTATATATCAAGAACAATATTAATAATATTATGAATTCACAGAACAATAATATTATTTTACAAAACATCAAATTATACTAGAATATTCTTTTCTTTCACTGTTTCATCTGATATGTAGTCAGAGAACTTAATCTGATATAAAACTTAAGAAAAATGGATTTATCGTATTCCCTCTGTGTAATTTTCAAATATTAATTATTAAATTTCAAAACTATCGAATTATATTTATTCATGAAAGTATTTCAATATCTATAATAACCTTTTATAGATAATATGTTATTCGAAATATTTTGAAATGTCATTAGCATTGGAATGAGTCACGATTATCCTGATAATTTTAATAAAACAAGTTTATCTAGAAATATACATAGAACATATAAAATATTTAATATCTCATCAACATCACCAATCACTTATTTAAATAATCAATTATTCATTATTGTATTAACAAGCATTATATCAAGTATTATTTTAATTCAATGAAATCAATTTTCAATGTTTTGTCATGATATTTTATAAATAAGACAAATTTCCATTTTTTTAATTATAAATATTTATGTAACGTTTATATAAATTTATATTTATTATTTATATTATATAAATTTATATAACGTTTATATATTTATATAACATCTGTAATCTGTTTAGAATAAATATCTTGTAACTTTTATACACATTTTTATATTTATTTCAAATGTTATCTACACACTCATAGTAGTCAAGCCTTGTTACTCAAAATATTTTACGTAATCACATCCAGTGTGCATACATGAAAATTTCCTAAAGTATCAAAATACTTTATCAAAATCTCTCATTTTGACAAATCGTGTTGATGAAAGACCGATGATGGACAATGAACAGGAGACAATGTCAATAGGGCCAGCAAGGATAGCAGTAGCAGTGGTTGCGATGTCGAACTGGATGTCGAGAGAAGAGCAACCAGACGACTGGCGGGGAGTAGTAAACGGGAAATATATACGTGAATGCGTGTTGCCGAGTACGATATTCGGTAGTCGACGCGCGACGTTCGAACGGAGCGGGTCGTGCTTTCTCGTCCCGTTCCGTCTCAATCTGGCCTCGTATCAAATAAGTTCATCATTCAGTACTATCAATAACGAAGAACCAGAAGAGGAAGGGGCGTCCAGAATCCATTGAGAATCATCGACAATCGTAAATGTTCGATCGGTCTGTATTTTAAGATGACCGCCTCGGCACTGTTTCCTTTACCTTCCTCTCACTCTCTCCGATTCTCCTCCACGTTCGGTTCAGTTTCGTCCACGTCAACGTCGTCGTCGTCGTCGTCGTCGTCGTCGTCGGCGTCGTTGTCGTCATCGTGGTCGTTGTCGCAGTCACCGTTACCATCGCGTAGGAAGAAGAAACCAAACGGGTGGACGAACTATCGTGGTCGGTATTGTCTGAGACTATGCATAGGCAAGAAAAGCGATTGAATTGTCGCGTGGCGGAGTAACAAAGTGCAAAGAAGTGAGAAAATCGAATCGGTTCGAATAGCAGTCGGACTGTCATAGTATCTGAGAATCGTGGAAACCATCAATTACTCGATTCGAGTTGGTACGCAAGTCTCGGTTGACATGTTGACTGAGAGTTAA